CGGTGCTGAGGTCATCAAAATCACATCGCCGAACCTCTCCGACGTACCTTTCTTCCAAGTGGATGCAAACATCGGCAAGCATACCACCGACTTAAATTTGAAAGACCCAAGAGACCGTCAGACCTTTGAGCAACTTCTTCAGTCGGCAGATGTGATATTGGATGGCTATCGACCCGGAAGTCTGAATCGTCTCGGATATGGGCCCGAGCAGCTCCTTCACCTTGCCAGAAAGCGCGGCAAAGGCTTCGTCTACGTTGCTGAGAACTGTTTCGGTCACACTGGACCATGGTCCTCACGTCCAGGGTGGCAGCAGATTGCAGACTGCGTGACAGGTGTGGCATGGGCGCAGGGTCAAGCAATGGGGTTGAGTGAGCCTGTTGTACCACCTTTCCCTATGAGTGATTATGGTACGGGATGTATGGGCACCATCGCTGCGTTAGTTGGACTCCACAGACGAGCAAAGGTTGGTGGAAGTTACCTAGGTACCACTTCGTTGGTTCAGTACGATATCTACCTACTCCAACTTGGACTCTACGACGACCGTATGATGGCGGAGCTACGCAAAGAACATGACCAGGAGTTCTTTCAGTTGCGACATCACGATTCGGTAGATGAAGTGGGAAAGAGAGCATTGAAGACGATGAGACGAACTCATCCAGAGCTCTTTGAAGACCGACACATGCAGGAGTGTTACAGCAAGGGATTCAACGCCAATGTCAGGACTATCCGACCCGTGGTCAGCGTTGAAGGTTACTGGAACGGCTTCCTACGCAGCTCTCGTCCCAACGGTTTCGATAAGCCTACTTGGGAAGATTGGGAGATTGATGAAGCCTTACTACGGACTTGAAGAGGCCCAGCCATTGTTGCGTCATAGGTCTTTCTCATCTTACCATGTCGTCTTGAATACCCAAATTAGCGTTGTTGCACCTGTACATCACGTCCTCCTTTCATTCCCATATCTCGTTATCATCAACCATTTTTTCCAGCATCTCCTTGCTGATATTCCTTCACGATCTCGAACACCCAAAATCGCGCCTCGGCATGATGTGTATTGTGCCCCACATCGCCCCACAGTGTCAACGGAGTTTCCCAGGCGGACTGGTGCAGCTTCCGACATACCACTGCACGATGTAAGCACACGTGCAATGCGTCTGGTACTTCCTTGCGGTACCACCGGCTGAATATGATGTCGCTATGTGTACCGTCATGTCGCCTCGTACGCGATGCTCGAAGTAGGAAGAAGGCCCGGTCGGGGATGATACCTAGGTACGCTAGGACACGCCTTCCGTCGCGAGACTAGCTAGGGATACAGTCGCTCAACACCGAGACGGGCCGCTAATGCTGGGGAACGACGCCATGGATCAGTGGAGAAAGCCTAGAAGAATTCCGCGCAGCATTACCTCGGTGCACCCGTTGGCTCTCATTACCCAGGTATTGGTAAGCGGCGCACGTGCTACGTGAGTGCTGAGGTAAGTACCTAGGTACCTTGCCGTCATGTCAAGCTTACTCAGGATTCTAGGTACTCTGTAGCCACGAGCTAACCACGGTCAGTATCTTTATACGATCCATGCTCAGACCGTTTGCAGGCGCACAAATTGTTGAACCGAGGTGCTTGCGGGTTGATTACATTTTGACTTTGCTATAGTGACGAAATTTGGCCGACGATGGTACCAACTGGATGGACAGCATATTTATCGGACAATGCCTACATTACCGCTCTTTGGACCGCCTCGGAATTCAACAAAAATCCCTCTTCGGCCTTTGATGCCGCCAAAGTTATGCTTTTGCTACAAGTACTTTGAAACCCATTGACGAGACTGTATCTGTCTTTTGAGCTGGCTTATGTACGGTGTGAGAACATACGTCAATCGAATATCAGCATGATTTCGAATCAAGATGTTGAAACAGGTGGTGCTATTGATATTCCTGGATTGAAACGCCATGATTCTACGACGGCATTTGAAGGACGAGCGCCGCTCCTGGCATACACCGGCAACCGGCGATCACCAGAACAGTTGTACAAACCTTCGAATATGCCGGCTTGAAGATAGGACCGACAGATGTACCGCTACACTAGCTAGACTATGAGCCTGACCAGTATCCTAGCACTGCCTGGACATTATCATCGTCTCTAAGCTCGCGAGAATTCTCGGCATCTCTAGCTTAACGGTCTCCATGACACATACTCCGAGCTTGTGGGGACTCCACTTCACTGCAAGGCTAGATGTATCTTGCGTTCTCATGTCTCTTTTGCTCTTGCGTCCGTCACATCCATGAATAGCTGCAAGAGCTAGCCATGCAGAGCCTGCTTCTAGCTTTGTATCGCAGCCGTTTTCTTTCCTTGCTCTATAGGTTGCCCTTATTGCCGAAAGGCTCTTCTACGGTAGTTGATATCTGCCATCTCGTCTTCGGAGTCGCTACCGCCCTGCTGGCTGGGTTGCGCATGGCAATCCGTTGCCGTAGTCAATAGCCGCGGCGCGGCCTCCAGACTGTCAGTCACCGGGCCGCCGTAGTAGGGACGCTCTGCGTGATCTTCCTTATGTCTTATGCGAGGGTAATGCGAGTTGCGCGTGCTTGGGCGGACTGGCGATCGGATTGGATGGAAACTGCTGTAGGGGCGGTTGTCCGCCATGAGTTAGGTCTCACCGTCAGTTGGTGAGTGCCTCTGGGCGCAATGAGAACGGACGGCAGCCCGAGCACTTGACCAAGAAGCAGGCGACCTCGTTAGCATTGAGTCGACGTTCGCTCGCTGAATGTGCCTTTGACCCAGCTTGAAGCGCCGCCTCGTCGCTCATCGCAGCCCCAGTCACTACCTACCTAGGTAAGCCGAGGGGCGTTGAGCCACCTCCGTGACGCACCAGCAATGGAGAAGATACATACCTAGATATCGATAGCCAGAGACTTCATGCTATCCTGAAACTCCTTCCATTTGCACGGTCACCTTGCGGTCGACACTATTAGCTTTATCATGGCTACCTCGTCAGAAGACCTTACGTTCTTAGGGAAGGCTTCAATTACAAAGGAGCTCACATTCTTTTCTCTTAAAGTCTCTCATTCTTGCAAAAGAGCAGTTTCGACTCCGGCTGACAATCAACTGTCATCGATGGATCACTGGCTACAACCAAGTTGAGCCACAGGGCGCCCTGGCGAGACTTGCAGCGAGAATGCCGCAATATGTACGCTAGTACGGCTGCTCTAATACCCCAAACGCTCATATTGGCACTTCGATTTTCGTTCACGGGCGTGCTGTCCCCGGCTAGCGTTGCCGTCGTAAGTGGTTGCCTGGATTCAACTACAACAAACGGTCACTCAACCACCACATTCCCCCTTCACCTGAGCAACTCCAGCCGACGCAAGCAGCCCGATGATCTGCCGGCCGGGCGCTAGTAAAGCATCACGTGACGCTAGCGCCGCCAAGCCCTGAGGGCCTACTTGGTTTGGCTACCTCCACGTCCACTACCATAACGCCCAATGGCCAACACATCAATTTGGGGCTCAGGTACCTTTTACCAAGTTTCAAGCTCTTACTCCCTCATCCTTCTTCAGCCTTGACCTTCATCACTCTGGTCTATCATGGCAACATACATTCACTCATTCTACCTTGGCACTTGGTATACTTGAACACTTCTTCGACACCTTCAACCTTCTCCAGTACTACACTATCACATCATGTGAAGCCTTGCTTTACTTCATCTTCGGATACCTTCAGGCCACACCATCATATCTTCCACCTCAGCCATCACTATGTCGGTATCCATCACCACTTCACTGGACGTTCATGTCGACATCACTTCACACCAAGTGCCATCTGCCATAGCCTAGAAGCTTTCAAGGTTTGCTTCTTTCCCCTCTCCGTTGTTCACTAACATGTCTTCTGACTTGTTCAGAACAAAAACAAAGTGGGTTCTTCATTCTTCTTTGATCATCCTTTACTGATCCTCACCAGAACCATATCAACAACTTCATTCAACTTCAATCACCTCCTTCCTTCATCGAAATCCACCTTGGACATGCTGGACTTCCACCTCACCTCACTTCATTTCACACCAACATCAACCTCATCATCACTCTGGATCTCCAGCATGCTCCTTCGCATACGACAAAGCTCAAGAACCGATCGGACGAGTCCACTTATCATCGACTGAACCAATCTGCGACCACGACAGATTGCTTCGACTCTCCTTACCGACCGCGGCGCGCGACAATGACCAGATCGAGTGGTTGCGACGGTTGAGAGACCTTTACAAGATTGTGTTGTGCTTTTGGAGCGCTTGACGGCTTGTGGTTGTGTCAGGAGGACTGAGGGTCAATGACAACTTGGTTGTTATACCTGGCCTACAACCACTACTGCGGTCTTGCGCACCCTGCTTACATACCACTGGCGTGCCTCGATGGGGTTCAGGTTGGCTTCGGCTGATATCAACGTGGTCACTGTTCGCAGAAGCATCCGGTGTGTAAGAGCTTTGGATGAGATCCTCTGCCGGTTGTTGGATTGGCGCACACTCGGCTGGTCAGTTTGGACTTGAAATGGTGGTAGGAGGTTTGGACTTGGTGGTGGTGGTGGTTCTTCATGGGCTTTTCGATCTTTCATGGTCTTGGTGGTTTGAGCAAGGAATCTTGTTGGTCTTTAGTGCAAGGAATGGCTTATGGTCGGGTTTACTTCAGTGTGTTGGTTCTTCAAGGGGTTTTGGTCGTGGTTGGAAACTTCGCAGCATTTCATCAAATCAATATGTGGACTGCAACTTCATCTTCTCTGCTTGTGACTTGTCTTCTCTTCTTACTTCCCCTCTTTACTTAGCATTATTGCCTCTTATTCCACGCAATGACCTACAGCGCCCACTATCCTCCTACTACTACCTTATACAAGTGAAAAGCTGAACACCCTAGAGCCGACTTTGTCGTTAGGCCACCTACTTTACATGTTTTTATCTAAATGTAGGCTCTATGGTGTTCGGGTCTTCCCTTGTATAAGGTGCTACTCCTCGCACCCTCAGCCACCATCACCGCGCCTCACCACCCACCTTCCCATCTCCACGGCCCAGCACCCCAAACATCCACTCCCCAATCTCCTGGCTCTCTTCCGGCTGCACAGGATAAAGATGACCCTGCTCCCAATGCCTTACCACACTCTTACCCTCACCAACCTCATACCACCCATCAATCAGTCCCTGACCCGCCCAGTTCCACTCATCCTGCAGACCCTGAACATGAAAAGCCGGCAACTTGATCTTCCCCTCCATCAACTCCTTGCGCTCTTCCACACTCATCCCAAACGACGAGACCGCTGCATCAAGCGCCGCAGACGCAGAAGGCGGTATCAGCGGCGGCGGATAAGATCCACAAACACTAAGGCCAAACTCAAAGTCCAGATACGCAAGCCGCGATACATCGCCCCCCTTTTCAGCGAGTGCGCGTCGGATTTCGCAGCCTTTGAGCAGCCCGGCTACAACTTTGGTGCCTTGGGAGAAGCCGATCAGACCGACGACTTTGCCGCCGGTGGAGGTGATGCGCTCAACGGTGCTGCGGACGAGGTCTTCGACTTCCGAGGGCATGGCGGTGGTGGAGTTGCCGGCTTTCATGTCGGAGATGGTGACGCTGGATTGCATCCAGCGTTTGAAGGGCCCGCAGCCTTCGAAGAAGGGGAGGATGCCTGGGCCGGGTTGGGAGGGGAATGGCGCTTGGGATCGTTGTTAGTATGGGAGCGCATATCAAAGGGAGGGAAGGTAGGTAGAGATGCATACCTTCCAGACTCTCGACTTCGAAATGGTCTTTGATCACCCTCATCAGTCTTGCTAATTGAATCGTGTGTACGGTCGCGTTGCTTCCTGAACCATGGAAGGCTAGTAGTGTGGGCTTCACAGGTCCACCCATGCCTCCGAGTTTTGGCGCTGTGCTAGGCGTCATGTACGTGCTGTTCTCTGTTTGTGCTGCCATCTTGGCAAGGTGTGATGTAGGCCGTGGCTCGAAAACACAGTGGAATAGTCCCCCGTGAGGCTATCTATAACTCTTCGATGTTTCTCTTGGCTTTCTAGCTGTAAAAAAGGAGAATGCAGGGTCCGGTGCTGTTTTTCCAGATGGTGGGGGAGGGCGTTTGCTTCTTTTCGTTTGTTTCAGCTCGACACTTTAATTCCTTCCTTCTTCTGCTCTTTCTAAACTTGGACAAACAATAAAAGTCGTAGGTTTCGTTAGATGATTCCTGTACATGGGTTGAAAGGCATGTGCTTGGTAGACGTGGACAAGTGGCTGCTTATCGGGCCGTAAAAGTCGTCATTCGCCAAGGACGTGTGTATTGCTTGTATGAGAAATAGATATCTATGACCGTCGCATTAGAACTGAGACGCCGAGAAGTATCGTTGTTCAACAGAAACGTGTATGCTGAGGTACATGTCTACATGCAGGATGTAAGGTCAAGACCGAGGATGCCTGTCCTAGTGGGGTCTAGTCAGAGGCGAGTTGCGCCCATAGATTACGCACGCGTTCGCTCGTCGCATGGCTTATAGACTGAGAGCACCCAACCAAGATGCGTCAACTCATTATTTGGTTTCTCATTCGAGTCTGCTACTTGGAAATCGTTTGTCTCGATTCTGGTGCTCCTTCTTGAATCCCATAGCTTGCATTTGAACTACGCCTTGCTCACTCGCTAATAGTACTTCATAGGAAGGATAAAGGGAAGAAAAGAAAAGATAGCAACGCCAGTCACCCGTACTCAGGCTCAAAAGTTTGTTGTACCAGCCCTAGGTAGCGTGTTCGACGAACCACTCGAAGCTTTGCTCCTCGTTCCACTCATCCCAGAGCTCACACTCGTTCTTGAGCTTGCCCTTATTCTACCCTTATCCCCCTCCTTGATCGACCTCAGGATCTCAATGCCCTCAGGAGTCTTTCCCAACCGAGATACGAGCGTCGTGTTTTCATGTTGCAGGTCACCAATCTGCTCCTTAATCAACTTGTTCTCCTGCTCCAGTATCTCCACGCGCTGCTTGAACTCGTCCCGCTCGCGTTGCGCTTTAGCAAGTTGGTTCTTATCTGCTTCCTTCTGCTGGCGAAGGAGCAGCTTCCGTGTCTCCTTCTCGCGACGCTCCTCGAGTTTGCGCATCTCTTTCTCATACTTCTCTTTCTGTTTCTTCTTCTCCCTCTCGTGCTTCTCATTCGCTTTTTGCATGTCCGCATTCGCCTTCTGGCTTTCAGCTTGTAGTCCCGACTCCTGCTTTTCGCGCGCTTGCTCGAGTTTTGCCTTCAGCTGTTCCTTCTTTTCTTCAATCTTTTGTAAGCCCTTGTGATGTGGGCTGTCTTCTGTCAACGGTAGGGACTGTTGCGACGAAGTTGATGGCGTCGGGATCTCTCGGTCGATTGGGAGTCCTTCGCGGGCAGTAGTGAACTGTTCTGCAGATGCGAACGAATCGCCGGAAGACGACGAGCTTGAGGAGCTATCGGATCTTGTGCGTTGTAAGCTGTATTGGCTGCCAGCCTCCCCAGTCTTGTCCACTATGCTGGTTCCTATTCCGGCACCCATACCGTTCGCGTCAGTTGCGGAGAATGTCCGCCCAGTGTCGTGCGCTTTGGGCGTCTCCGCAGAGTCGTCTTTGCCTGCCATTCCATCTGCCTCGACGTTGTCGTCTTTAGCACATGCCCAGTCAAGGAATTTGACCGCGTCCTGGACTATGCTGCTAGGCACATTCCGCTCGACCATGAATCGAGGAATACCACCACCAGGATCACTGCGAGTGACCATTATCCACTCGATAGGGTTGGTCTCTGCGTCGCCGTCGCCCATGGGTATCTCCCTGATCATCTCAATCGACTCGTAGAAGCCTCGCACCATGTTGCTTCGCGGCGGCGCATCCGGATGTGAACAGGGTATGGACACGACCATGAAGTGTCGCGGTGTTGAGTTGGCGACTTTGGAGGCATCGGTAAGACATGTATCCGAGGTGATGAGTAGGGTGATGAACTCTCGCGGTGAGGTGGGGCCAGGGAACTGCGCGGATAGCTGGTAGACTGCGCCTCTGTTAGTCGCTACGGGTGCCTGGAAATATTCGCTCTCCCATACCTTGCAGTTGACCAACGCCGTCGACTGTCATGTCCTCTAGCCGTTGGTCGCCTCCAATGCCTCGTATGTTGCCCTCGCCGGGGCCGCCCTGGACTTCCAGACTCTCCGGGAACTCCCTCTTCATGGCGCGCTTCCACTTCTCGAACCCGAGGCCCTCGTGTACGCTCGAGCGCGAAAACCAGGCTCCGTGCCTGTCCTTTCCGGCCATCTTGTACACGCTCATGCCTGTAGCGGCGTCATTGTTTCCTAGCTTCACGGGCTTGCCCCATGACTTCTGCAGCTCTTCATGCTCTGGCGCAGGTGGTGGCCGGCGGACTTGGGAAATTGTGAGGTCTTTGGAGCCCGTTGCAGGTTCTTGCTCGGTTCGGGTTCGTTGTGACGACTCGTAAGGCGTTCCATTGGGTGGTGGAGGCACAGAGTTCGCGATCACTTCTGCTTTGGCCAGTATTTCGGATAGGAATGTCTGGAGGTTGTCGGTAGGGACGTCGCTAAACTCCTTCGGCCGGAGGCACGCGAGCGCTTCGTGTAGCTCCGACATGATAATGTCTGACGGAAAGATGGGACTTGGAAAGATCTGGGGAGGTAGTAACGAGGGATTCAAAGCCACAGGATACCTAGACCCTTTGTGGTTGCTCCCAAGCTATATGTGTGCTGTGAATGTTCCGAGGTACCCGTGGTGCCAGCTAGCAGGGTCCGGTGACGGACGATGAAATCATTACCTGCGATTATCGATTCGATTTGCAATGAAGATGGAGCTTGAGAAAGAACTAATAACGAGTAGCAAACTAGGCGAGCTATTTTCCTATGCTGAATTGCGAGGGCTCCAGTCGATATGGCAGTTGTTTGCATGTGCAGGTATAGTTGATGCAACGTCATCCCTGCACGTCGCTCGCTCTTCCCAATCCGCGACGCGTGACGCGGGGTCGCCCGCCGCGCCACCGACGTATCAATCCCTGGCTGCCCTGCATACGAATACGATGGCAGCCACTACGTCACATATGGCAAAGCTTGCGAAATTGCGACCTTCACGTTTGCTAACATTCTGGCTTGGTATAGCACTCGATGAAACGCACCACGCGGATATAGAGTAGAAGAAATATTCTATCTAAGACGTGCTGGACACGTAGAGAGGGGTATTTCGCAGGTCTAGCTAATGCAGCAAATCAACATATTCCAAAACAACAATCCATGAATTACACAAGTACGTATAAAGCACACATCTGTCAAGCTGTTAGTCTCCATGAATATACGCCGGAAGTTCATAACTTACCATGCTAAGCCCCAAGATCATGCTGCACCAAAAGAGGACGTTGTTCAACAGAGTGCGGCCTCTAACCCACTTGCTCCGTTGCAACATTACAATCGGCATCTGGAGCATCATCGCGACGAAACCGTAGCCTCGGAACTTTCGCGTAATGCAGCCCATGACAAGCTCATGCGCCAACGCAGAGATGAGGAAGGTGATTGTCGTAGCCAGAGGACGCGACATGTGGTTCTTAGACGCAGAGTAGACGTGTCGTCGGAAGAAATGGTGACTAAATCACAACGCATCTAGTCAGCGTGTTTCTCACATGCGACTCGTACAGGGACGTGACTTACACAGGCTTGTTCCATTCGCGCGAGAATTCTAACCAGTCGCAGCTGTTCCACCAGTCTGCATAGAATTGACGGTCGGCAAAGCCTGCAACTCATGTTAGCAGCGGTCGCTGGGCTTGGCAGTGGAAACTCACGTGTTATCTCTGCAAAAGCACCCAGGATGTACTCAAAGATGACGAGGAAGACTAGCAGGAAAGTAATCATGAATGGAAATAGCAGACGACCGATAGTCTCGCTGAGAATCAACGTGAAATCCGTAGCACCCTTGGAATTTTGGAGTCGCACAGCCGATACGTCCAGCACTGGGAGGATGAACTCCTCCGCAGTAATGACCATCAAGAAGATGCATCCGAATACGGCAAGAGTCTTGTAGAAGACCTCCAACCAGCGGATGTTGGTGTTCCTCGGGTACTCAAGCTCGTAACACAAGGTTGGGCAGAAGATAAAGTCGACAAAGTTATACAGGGTGAGGTTGTTGGGGTAGGAGACGTTACCGAGAGGCGAAGCAAGCTCCAATGCGAGATCATCTCTCAGTTGGCCAAGATACTCTGCATTTGCCTTCTTCGGGTCCGGCTCCTCCTGTGAGGGCGATTGCGGGATCTCGTGCAAATGAGTGCTTGAGCTTGGATAGCGCACTGCAGCTACCTTGCTGGCCTTGTCGGGTGTATCAAGATCGTTCAAGCGACGTAGAGTTTCGCTAAGATGACCGTTATAGAAACTTCACAAGGTTAGCCATGCAATCGAAGCTCTAGTTACTTGGTGCCATACGCGTAAGAGTGCATCTTCATGAAAATCGCAAGCAGATGCAGAGTGAAGAAAACCTGCGCGGTCCAGCTCCAGTCCCGAATGAAAGGGTATCTTTGCATTGGTCAGTCTACAGTACAGTTCATTGCCAGGGCCAGCGTACGTAGTCCAGAAAGCAAGCCATGTTGCCTGAAATATGCTCTGTATAGCTATGCCAGACGTGTTCCAGCGTAGAGACCCCTGTTTGAGAAACAGCCTCTGGAGTGGCAGTGACAGGGCGGTGCTGAACACCATGGCCCCGTCGACTAGACCAAGCTCAACAACCTTCTCCTTGAACAGCGCCCACTGTCGCATCTGGAAGGGGTATCCGGTCTCGGTCATGTTGCGTAGCATCGATGTAATGACCATGATGGCAAGTCCGATCCAGAACAGGACGAAGAAGCCGCGGAAGTCATGGTAGTCGCTGTTTGGGTCGAAGTGGGAGACGCGATCCACGTAGTCTATGGTAGGGAATATACGCTGCTTGTGCTGGGCGCGTATCTGCCTG